AAATGATAATTTTAGTAAAAATGAAGCATGGCTCAATATAAAGCTTTCAAGAAACAAATTATCAATGAAGAATCTTCCCTCCCATATCAAAAATCTCCAGAAGAAACACTAGTTCTAGGTAAGCAAGATTATAAACATTCATTATGCATATCTAACTAAATAAGAAATAAATGTATCCTAACAATGAGATGTCTTAAATACTTTTAAGAGTTGTTTTTTAAAAAATACTTTAATTAAATTTCATTCCAATTTAAAGATATTACACAAAACAAAAGCGAATGGCTACAAAATCTACATTTTTCACATTTACAACAAATACTTTCTAAAGAAATATTTGCTAAGCTTTAGACTACAAAACATACAGTTAGTCAGATGTAAGTATATATCCCCCTTTTATGAACGTGTAACTTGAGGCTCCACCAAATTTTCCTATAGCTCTGTTGGCCACCTCCTAATTTTCATCACCACTATACTGTTCAGAGTAACAATCTTTACATTCTATTCAGCATGTGTAACTCTCACTATTACTTTCTGTTAGTTTTGCATTTAAATAATTTCAACTCTACAGTATTAGCAGACTCATCAAGCATTTTCTATTCCTGAAATCTACTCATTTCTTAATAGGCAGTGTTTAATTGTTAAAGAGGTTTTTTTTTTAAACTCAAGGAACAGTAGTTCTTGGATGCTTTGCTCTTTGTCCTTTTACTTGAATTTGGATCTTGATACCATGTCCTCAAGTAACACTTAAATATCACTACCTATTTCTGTGGTACATTTCATTTCTTCCATTTTAAAGAAATGCTCTTTTATAATTTTACAAATAACAATCAACTAAACATCTCTTTGTAGAAACACCTTTATCCTCATGATGGATCAGCCCAGCTTAAAAACTTGCTATTTGTTCCTTTTACCATAATCACCTATAGTCATAAATTATGAATACCCTAAACCTTTCTCCTACAGCAGTATTTTGCTCTTAAAGGTATCCATTCTGTTCTCTGTAATTTCTCCTCACCTTCAATGTTTTTCATTAAGCCTATTGGTTTATTTTAATATGTATGTACTTGTACTTAAAACACACATTAAACTATTCCTTATCAAGAAAGTTAAAGTATCTGCTTCTAAAATACATCAAGGCACATCTTTTTTTCTTCGCTGATAGTATCCTTCAGAGGCTACAGAAACGTACCCTTAAAAAGAAATCATCATGTCACTTTTATAAGTTTTGATTCATTTATAAGAATATTCATATTAGATATATTTAACCTTTTACTACAGAGAGTACTACACAAACTAAATATTTGCTCTAATCTAGCATATGTAGTAATTAATTTAAGACACCAAACTTTACCTGCAATGTGTTTGAAGACAGAAAATATTCCCAGCAATAGTCTTTCTCATATCTGAAACCACGTCGCTTAGCTTCTTCCCATCCCTATGGGACAAATGAAATCTATTTATATTGTCCTCTACAACAAACTGTTTTTAGTTTTATTTTAGTATATTAAGCATTAACATTCAATAATCCAAAGAATTCTGAAATTCACACACTAATAAAAACAAATTTCTCATGACTCTGATCTCTGAAAGAAAGCTGCCATGAAACACTGGTGTTTTAGGGCTAGGGAGATAGCTTAGCAGTCTAAATGTCTGCCTGGCAAGCGCAAGAACCCGGTTCGATCCTCAGTACCACATGCCATGCTGGCCCTGCACCATGCTATGCTGTGCTAGCTATCAAAACCGGGCTTGGTGCTCCACGCCTGTAATCTCACTGCAGGGGAGGGTGAGACAAGAGGATCACTATGACTCCAAGCTGTGTAGCAAGACCCTGAACCAAATCAATCAATCAAT